TTAGTCACCAGCTAGAGACTCAGATTGAGAGGGTCTGAAGACCTTTAGTCGAGACTTCAGACTGATTAAGAACCTTCCGCAGTATAACTTTCATAGAAATCGAACTTGGCAATTACAATCCGGCTTAACTGCAGTCTAGGGGGAACCATATCCGGGTGACCTCTCTTAACCTGAATACAACCGTTTTAGTTACTTTGCTTGCTTGTTAGTTTAGAACTTCACTAAAGTTTCATTGCTAGATAATACGAATTCACTGAGTAGTCATCACATCTAGGACCCGGGTTGATAATAAAACCCAAACCCGCTATACTACGCTTTAGGAAGTGGTTACACTTGGCCATTTTTTAGAGTGACAGTAACAGCGAGTCAAGTTTTTGGCGCCGTTGCCGGGGACGGCTAGGTTGTTGAAGAAAAGTGATTTCTGTTATTTTAGCATTTTCATTTTTTGCATTGAGTTTTTGTTTTTCCCACTTGTGCCTTCACGGGTTTGCCTTGCTTGATTGTGTGCAGATAGTGCATGACCCGTAGCCAGTCGGGAGGTTTACTGCCGTTGGATCAGAGATTGAACGCACCTGCAACCAACTTCGGAGACAACAGCGAGCTAGACTGGCTACGGTGGAGTACAGAGACGTCCAATTGAGTAGCGAATCCGAGGACAAACACGAGATGGAGGGCGAAGACATCCCACAACCGGGGAATGCTCGACAGGCTCCCCCGGTGAATCAGCATCCACCACCACCGCCGGGTCCCACCTTGGAGTACTACTACACTCCACGGATTGCTGACATCCGCCCGGTCATCCTCTATCCACCCATCCCAGCAAACAACCTCGAGATCAAGCCATGCTGGATTCAACTCATCACATCATCTATCCAGTTCCATGGTTTGAAGGATGAGGAAGCCCGGGCACACCTTTCCCGTTTTCTGCAGCTGACGAACGGGTTCAAGCTGAATGGTGTTCCGGATGATGCAATCCGCCTTCACCTCTTCCCCCATTCTCTGGCGGGGAATGCTAAGAGGTGGTTGGAGACCCAGCCCCCATTGTCCATCGCCTCTTGGGACGATCTGGCTGACAAGTTCGTGCACCAGTATTATCCGGCATCGAAGACCACGGAGATTCAGCGGGAGATCACTCACTTCCGCCAAGATCCAGATGAGTCCCTTCGTGATGCATGGGAGCGGTACATGGGATACTTCTGGCAGTGTCCCCATCATGGCTTCAGCGATGCTTTCATAGTAGGGAACTTCTACAGCGCCCTCACCCCAGATAGCCAGAGGGTGATCGAGTCCCTATGCCCAGGAGGGGATATTCTCACTAAGACTCCACCCGAGCTGAACCAGATGATCAGTACTTTGGCTGCCCGTGATCATTCCTGGGGGCAGAGCAGCAGAGGCAGGCATTCCCGGGACCGAGGTGTGCATGCTATGGAGGCCAGATCCGGGTTAGAGCAGCAGGTAGCTGAGTTGGTGCAGACATTGAAGCAGCCTAACGGTCTCCTTCCGGGCCGAGGTGCAGCTACGCCTCCAGTAGCTCAGTGTCAGTGGTGTGAGAGTCCAAACCATCTGGTGGAGGACTGCCAGGCTATGCGGGAGTCCTCTACTCCCCAAGAACAGTTGGCCTTCGTCGCCAATGCTCGGCGCCTCGATCCATACAGTAACACATACAATGAGGGGTGGCGCCAGCACCCAAACTTTGCCTGGAGCAACAACACCAATAAACCACCTGGTTTCCCAGCACCAGCAGGTGGTTTTCAGCAGAGGAAGCCTTTCCAGGCTAGACAGGGGCAGCCATTCCAGCAGCCCCCAGCGTCAGTATGCCGAGCCAGCAGCAGCGCCAGCTCCCGATAATCAGATGACCGAGCTGAAGAACGTTTTGGCGGCATTCATGACCACCAGCCAGGCAAATATCATGAGGATGGATCAGACCATAGCTTCACTGGAGGCAGGCCAGAGAACCCTGGAGGCAGGCCAGAGAAACCAGGGTGCCATTCTGCAAGATTTGCAGAACCAGGTTGGCGCCATAGCTCGCCAGATTACTACTCGGGCCCCGGGGACTCTACCTGCTACCACGGTCCCCAATCCACGGGACCCGCACGAGCAGCTGGGTGCCGTTTTCACCAGGAGCGGCAGACCTACATCAGCTGATCCTGCCTCGACCAGGCAGGAGGAACCACTACCTGCTTCAGCACTTCCAGCCGGTGATGCAGAAGTGCGGGTGGAGAAGGAAGCCCCTGCTCCCAAGCCACAACCAGTGGTGAAGGAGCACGTACCCCAGCTTCCCTTCCCCACTCGCCTTCACAAAGACAAGCTGGAGACTGAGTTTGCCAATTTTATGGCAATGTTGAAGCAGCTCAACATCAGCGTACCATTTGTGGAGGCACTGTCGAAGATGCCCAAGTACGCTAAGTTCATGAAAGATCTCTGCACCAACAAGAAGAAACTTGGGGATCTCTCGACAGTGCTGCTGAGCGAGGAGTGTTCTGCTATCCTGCAGAACAAGCTGCCCGAAAAGCGCAAGGATCTAGGGAGTTTTACTATCCCTCTTACTATTGGCAGCATGCATGTAGGAAAGTCCTTGGCGGACCTAGGAGCTAGCATCAATGTCATGCCATATAAATTGTTCAAAAAGCTAGACCTAGGTGAACTTAGCCCTACTAGGATGAGCATTCAGCTAGCTGATCGTTCCGTGGTGCATCCTAGGGGTATCATAGAAGATTTGCTTGTTAATGTGGGTGCATTCATATATCCTGTTGATTTTGTTATTCTGGATATAAATGATGATGTGGATGTGCCTTTGATTCTAGGTAGACCATTTCTTGCCACCGCCAAGGCACTGATTGATGTGCATGATGGTAAACTGATCCTGCATGCTGGAAATGAACATGCTATTTTTCCTGTGACTGAGTTTGATCATTGTGCTATGATTTCTGTATCGCCTGTGCATGCTATTTCTGATCAGGTACACGAGCCTGTCGTGTACCCTTCTGCACCTCTCATTTTGCAGGACCCGCCTATCATTCCTTCGCCGCCACTCCATCCAGTCTCGCCTCCGAACAAAAAGCTCAAGGAGGAGTGGCGACCGAAGCCGCAGGTGGCTAAGCCGGCACGGAAGAAGAGTGGAGACCACTATGAGCTGGTCCCACCCCCTGCACCACGACCACCCTGGCCATCCGAGTACTCACTCGCTTGTATCTTGCCGGATGGCCAGGTCGAGCTGACCGATGCTGGTGGTTGCAACCGTCGGGTGCACGGTCACCACCTGAAGCTGTACCTCAAGAGCGACGTGGATCCTCTCTTGGAGGCACCTATTCCTGCACCTCCCTGAGTATCCACCATGGGCGTCCAGCTAAAAGACGGTAAAGAAGCGCTTGTGGGGAGGCAACCCCACCACGGTTTTCATTTATTTGTTTTGTTTCGAGTCGGATTGCAATTTGGTTTGTTTGCTTTTGTTCTGGATGATGTCTTATTGGGCTGACATCGGACCTAACATATTCTGGTTGAGCTCTTCTGTTCCCCTTGAGCTGTGCTGTGTTCCCGACTGGTCCATTTCCAGTCTCCTGCAGTCCGTGCATACCGGTAACATCGTTCCCCTTACTTGTCCTCTTCTCCATTGAGGGCAATGTCGATCTTAAGTGTTGGGGGGGGGGGGGATGTTTATCTTTTGACTGCATTTGATCTGTTTGTGTGCTTGGAGCCTAGTCCACTGTCCAAATTTTTAAATTTGAGGGCTCCAAGTACGTGTTCCTTGCAATTGCCTGCTCAGTATGCTTTGAATTGACAGTCTCTGTAGTGATTTGCAACCTAGGGAGGTAGTGTAGCACTATGGAGGATGTTGATGCATTTAAGGAGTCTCATTTCTTCTTCATAGTGTGTTGGTTGATTGAGTGAATTAGTGATCTTAGGACCCTTGAATTGTGTGGTGTTGTGGACTCTCTGCCTGTCATGGACTCTTGTATCATGTTTTGAAAATAACAGGTGCTCGAAAATGTGCTTTAAAATGACGTCTCCCGTGCGAATAGGGCGAAAGTGTGTAAGGGGAGACGGGAATCCATTCCCAATTTCCACCTACTACCTCCAGCCCCCTTACATGTCTTTCCCCCGCACGAGGCTCGAGACAACTGCTCCTGGCATGGCCGGTAAGAGCCGGGCTCCCGCAAAACCTTTGCTAGGTGGGAGCCCCCGTTTTCTGCAAAAACGGGTTGGAACCCTTGAAAAAAAAGAGAAAAACAGAAAAACAAGCAAAAAGGAGAAAGAAAAGGGGTTCCAACCATCTCCAAAAAGAAAGTCGAGCACCTTGAAAAATGTGAGTCCATGATCTTTTGTTTTTGAGAGTCTCTTCATCCACGATTCATTTGTCCTCTGTTCACTATTTGCCATGATGCTGACTCGAGACTAGTGCTCTCGCCGAAGAAGCTATGAGATGACTTGTGCGTCGGTTGACCTCGTAAGTTGCTAAATGATCTAGGAAGTCCTCTACCTACGATCGAGGTTGTTTGTTGCTACAGAGGTCTGGAGAGTTGCATTGGTTTGAGATAGGTTTGCTTGGGGACAAGCAAACGGTTAAGTGTGGGGGAGTTTGATAGACCGTTAGTTACACATGTTTTTACCCCTGCTCTTACTCCGTTTGAGGTATTGATTCTCGTGTTTTAGACCGATTTCACGCTAGGTTGTGCTTGTTTATGATATTTCAGGTCCTAGTATGTGAATGGAGGCTTGGGAGCGAGTTTGGGGTCGATTGGACGAGGATCGGACGCATGGCGAGGTTCTGAGGAAGGCGCACGGGATTGTGCGTGGCCACGCATGGCCGTGCAACACATAATTCTGGCCGTGCGTGATTGTGCGTGGGCACGCACGGGCACAAGTGAAATCTGCACGGCCGTGCAAGGTGCAATCCTGGCCGTGCGAGTTGGTTGAGGTTCGACTTATTGATACGCCTCGTTTCTTCTTCTTTTTTTAAATTATTTAAACTCAGCGTATTAGTTATTAATTACTATGTGTGTAGGCTGAATTGAAGAATAAGGAAGCTGAGAAGTTGAGTCAAGGGGAAGAGGTGAATCAGTTTGCGATTTATGGTGAGGTTGTAGGAAAACAGCCTAGGAAACGTGTGTTGGGAATGGGTTATATGGGGTAACCGGTGTGGATGTTTTTGGCCCTAGCTCCAGTCAGGGCTGCAGCAAAAGGTGTGAAGAAGACCGAAGGCAAGAGAAGGTGAAGAATGATGAGATGATCAGAATGCTGAAAGAAGAGCTAGTGCAGGTGAAGAATGGAATTCCTCAGATTGTCGAGGATACATTGAAGAGGCTAGGAGTTAATTTGGCAGAGTCCTCAATGGTAAGTAGTTGCTGTTTTTTTAGTTGGTTGAGCATGATTAATCGTATGAACCTTATCATAATCTATTTAACTTTGTAAATTAGGCTGGAGACAAGGAGGTGAATGATGAAGATGAAGATGGAGACGAGGAAGTGAATGATGAAGATGCGGATGGTTTTGACCATGAGAACAGCTCCCCCTGATGATGATGACTACTAAGTTTGCAGCGCTTGGAAGAAAGCAGCAGTAGGAACTTTGAAAGTTCCAATTTTCAATCGGAAGTTTGCAGCTAGGAAGAAGGCAGTCTTAGGAACTTTGCAAGTTCCATTTTTCAATCGGATTATGTTTATGTTTATGTTTTGTTTTGTTAAGGGTTTGGTTGTTTTTGTTTTATGTTTGAACAAGTGTTTGGTTGTTTTGTTTTATGTTTGAACAAGTGTTGAATGTGGTCTCCTTTTAAGACAGTTTTGGTGGTTAAGCCACCTAATTTTATGGAGAATTTTCATTTTTTGCTAATATATTGAATTGGTTAATTTCTTTTATGCTTTTAATAAATCACCTGCAAGTATTCTATTTGTAATGTAACAAAATGGTTAGATTTAGTAAGTCATTTCTGATGAATAATTTGGGTTACATATATTCTTTTTTAACACAACAATTTGGTTAGCTTTAATTGTTTCTTTCGACGAATATTTAATGTTAAAAATATTCTTTTTTAACACAACAATTTGGTTAGATTTAATATGTTTATGCCGACGTATATTTTGTGTGACAAATATCTTATTTTCAACGCAATAATCTGGTTACATGAACACAAAAGTTGGTCTAAATTAATTAGTTTCTTCCTACGAAACTTTCGCATCACAAATATTCGATATTTTCTTCTGACCTTATTTTCTCGTTGGAAACTAAATTTACAATTATTAGGAATAGTTTTTAGTGACGGAAGATATTCATTATAAACACCACAGGGGTAATTTAGGAACATAATTAACCCTCGCAAAAAATGTTCTTTTACGACAAACAACTGTGGTCAAAACATTCAAAGGGTATTTTCGGAAAAAAATGTCAAATTTTTAGTAACGAATTTTTTATTTACTAACAAACATAGTTTCCTCAATTATAGTTTATCTAACAAAATGTACGCCTCACAAAAATTATTTTATCCCTTAAAAATATATTTGGTCAAACAATTTCGTTAAGTACATTTCTTTACTGATCACGATATTTTGCATAATGATAAAAAATAATTGTCACAAATATATGATTTTCTGACGCAAATACATTTAAACTATTAGCGAGGGACCTTTACCCCACGACCCACCAACGACCGTATTTCGTCAAAATAACCCTATTGTGACGAGAAAAGGCCTTTTGTGACGCCAATTGTCTGGTAACATCTGCCAGTCTTTTTTGTAGTGCTTATCCGGATCTGGGACATATGCATTATTCTTATATCCACGATGACAGTGAAAATATATCGAGGATACTTCTCGCCAACATTTGATTTGGTTGATGAATATGACAAAAAGAACCCAAGATCTTATGCAATCACTTTCGAGACTTCCATAGCTTCATTCCATGACTTATATCTCGTATTTGTTATGAAAAATTGAGTATAATCAACTTTGTCCCCCTTATCTTTCGGATCTCCCTAAAACAAACACATTCATCTTATTAGTGATACTAACTTTGAAATGTTTGGTGTAGATTGAATTCTTCCATTTTGATATAGAATGAGTCCTATGTAAGTTTCAACACTTTTGATGATTAGTAATGTTTGTTATAAATTGAATTCTTATAATTTGCTATGGATGGAGTCTTATGCGAGTTTTATCTTTGTATTACAAAAATATTAAACACGTTATTAACAATTATTCATTATTTGAACATAAACTTATAATTCAATAGCTTTTAAACAACAAATTAGCACATTATTCGAACATAAACTTATAATTCAATAGCTTTTCAACAACAAATTAGCAAATTAAGCATGATTAGCTAACAAAACCTAATATCTCAACATGCAATAACAAAGTTTTTAACAAGTAGACACACTAATTAAATTATTAACAACGCAACAAAGTCAATCATTCAACATTTTTCGAACGATATGTATCATTGTAAAAAACCAATTAAGCATACTATCAATTACTAGGCGTCATCGTAACAATATTTAAGCATACTATCAATAACTAATTCAACATTATTCTAAAATTATAAAGGTTAGCTCACTAACCGTGTTACTCATTGTCTAATGTAGTGATATTTATAAGTCCAAAGTTGAACAACTTCAAGAAATAGATATAAGAAAAATATTATCAGTAATATTAACTTACTTTCAAAATATCAAAAATGAAATTAAAGAACTTCATTCTAAAAATAATAATAAATCAAAAATATATCCTAAAAAATATGATAATTACAATATTCATAAACTAATAAATTAAATAAAATCACTAAATATTCTTTTAAATTTAAATTATTCATAAATGTATCATAAAAAATCTAAAACTGTTGGGGATATAGCTCGGATCTAGTCGCGTAAGAAATCCGGCCAAGCGCGCCCCACGCACTCGCGGAAAGAACCTTCCGCGAGTACCAAAAGCATCTGCGACTAGAGACAAATCCACGAGCGCCAGATGCACCAGCCAGGGGCGTTCTACTCTACTCAAGCCGGCGCCGTTTTACATACCTTCCGCGAGTACTAGAGGTCTCCGCGAATAAAGACAAGCCCGCGAGTTCTAGAAGCGCCAGCCGGCGTCGTTTTGCCCTGCCCTAGCCTACATCGTTTTGCTCTAATCAAGGCGGCGACGTTTTGTAAACACTAGATGACGTCGTTTCGCCTAATTCGAGCTGAGAAGGAAAAACGGGAAGAACGACATCGTATCCTTCGAAGGAACGGTCACATCCTAGTCCTAGGTATAATTATGGCCTAAGGCATGGCCTAAATGTCTGACATATGTAGTGGTCATGTCGAATTAAATGTTCATCCACCACAATGTAGCCTATAAATAGAGCATTTACTCCGGTGGGTGAGGGGGTCAGATTTTTCTGAGTCTATCACAAAAACATCGACTTATCTCTCTACGATCTCATCTCTCTCAATCTTTTTCTTCGGCCCCATTATCCTCCAACTGATTCAGTATCCATACTGCTTGTTCCTCTCACCCCATTATTCCCCCGAGTCTCCCTCCTACACTCAGTTAGACCCAAACAAAAACAATAAGTAAAAAAACTAAATTATCTAATATCTATTTAAAATATTTAATATTCTTAACAAATCTACAGGGAAATAAAAATTCAAAGAAAAAAATATCACGATGACGACCTACGAGCTGTCAGTCCACGGTGGCCGACGTCCCGACAGAACGTCTGGTCGTCGCAGGAAAATTTTGTCGGCAATTTTTTACCTCGTCGGCTGCGTTTCCTGAAGGTTGTGGTTGATGTCACTGGCAAGGTTGGTGGTCGCCGGCGTGAGGTATTAATGTACATTTTTTAATTGAGGGCTACAAATAAAGAAAAGTTAGGGCTACAAATATATATATGTGGGGAGTTCTACGGTACCCAGCGTGAAATCTGGGGTACCGCATACCTTGAGTAAGAAAACGCTATCTAGAACTTAAATTGACTAATCTTTCGGACATGATACTATACTCTAACCCTTAAAGATCAACATCGAGGTCTCAATTCTCTAAATCTTATACCCCAAGATCAATTTAATTAGAAACAATAGTCGATGGTTATGATTCGTCCAAATATAGGCAAAATCAATGCACCATCTTAGGGTCTATAGTTTATAATTTAGATAATTAGGACCTAGGGTTCACTCATTAAGGGTTAGGGTATAGTATCATGCCCAAAAATCCTGCTAATTCGAGGCCTAGATAGTGTTTTCATACTTAAGGTATGTGGTAGCCTGAATTTCACCCGAGGAACCGTAGAAGGCAATATATATATATATATGGGTCACACTCGTATGCGTCAGACACATACTATGCAACAGGATTTCTACACCGTAGATTTAATCTAACGGTGTTTATTAATTGGAATTAAATTATTTAATTTTTACAATTTTTAAATGATTAGTTGGTCATATAACTTTTTTATGCGTACCCTTTAACCCCTAAACAAACTTTTCAACATATTTTCGAATTATAGTACCAAATTTTATTCTAATCATGTCTCCAATCCATTAAGTTATATTTACTTACAATTTTAGTTTGGTGATTTATTCCTTTCCCCACTCATGTCAACGCTCAAACATCCTTTCCAATTGATGTCTGTAGTGGCTGACGAACCCTCTCCTCTCATCCTGGCTATCGATTGAAGCAATTGGATTTTGCGCTTCCCATCGATGTTTAATCCCTCTATGGATTAAGAGAGTGATCTGTTCGAGGCATGATGGATTGAATCTTGTGCTCGAGAGGCGGATGAGGAAGGATCGGAGAAGTGAAGAGTGCAGACTCGAGAGGTGGGCCGAAGTGCGGATCGCCGATAGCGGTGGGTAGGTAGGCTGCCGTCAATTGACGGTGAACGACTATGACCTTTACGTCCTGTAAACAATCACTAAAGCTGAAATGGAGAGAGGGGATTGGGTCTCGTCAAGGGAATTCTCTTGGTCGGAGTCCAGAATCGTAACGGAGTGAGAAAGTTTGGACGATGAAGAAAGACGACCGTCGGATTACGGTGGTGACGGCGGCAACTGGATAATTGGGATATTGGGGGGGCTAGGGAAGACGATGATACATGAAAAAACGGTATCGTTTTGTGCTCGTCTCTGAATCGAAAGTGGCCTGGAGAACGGCGTCGTTCTATAGGTGTAGCTGAAAACAAAAAAGAATTTGTAATGGTATGAGGGTCGAACGAGCGTCCTGGTCATTACCATGGGCATTCTTCACCATTCATGATGAACAAGGATTTTGATTCAATATACTTCCACTGTTATATTTATAACTATAAAATGAGTTCTTGTAAAATTAAAACATAAAACTAAACTAAGCAGGCCTTTTGTACCAGGCCCAATAGGTGATGTTGGATCTTCTCGCTTGGGAAATTTCCTTCAGTGGAGCCTCCTCTTTGTTTGTCTTGCTTGCTTCTCTTAGCTGAACTTGCATATAATTTTCAGGTTCTTGATTAGATATGCCGATTGATTGATGATAAATTCAGAGACTCGGTGTTGTTAAGCGTTTGCCGAGCATCGTTGGTAGGTCTTCAAATTCTCTTTTGTACTTTGAATTCGCAAACCTTCCATTAAAGCTTGTATATAATTTGTACACATTATCTTGCTACAGTAGGGATATGTTTGGGTGTTGCTTAACTGAGGCCC